CACGCGAGAAAGGGTACTGAAGGAACGTGCAGCTTGCGCGACTGTGACAGGCAAAGTGCTGAAGATTCTCAACATGATAACAAAGTTTGGAAAAAAAGCATCCAGTTTCATGGAATGAAGTCTGTTCAGCAACTGAAGAGTCGGCATGACATTTTCTCCAATGTTTGGCTGAATGAATCACTTTCAAATGTTCCATCTCTTGCACAAGGTCTGCTGATGCATCCACTGCATATTCTGTGTGCAATTTGTTAGCAAAAAATCACGAAAAACGCCGACTTCCTCTAGGGGATATTTCCACATAACACTAAATAACGAATCGAGTTTTGTCAATGCATTTTACCTTGTCGTCAAATTTCCAAAAATGCAGTCAATGAGGACTTTTAAAAAACTTCATGTTTGAATTTCTTCTCGGGATTTTGGCTGTCTGTTACATCTTCTATCTCGTCTGCAAAAAGCTTCCTTTTCCTGTGTGGTTTTGCTATTTCGGTGAATGAATGCTCAACATCATAATTATCTGCTACTAATTTGGACTCACTCAAGATTGCGTCCCATTCATCTCGAAAGCTTTTCATATCTTTAATCGGACTGTTCATATTTGCCTGCCACCTCAACGTCAAGCGTCGTATCTCGTGCCTGAAGTACTCTATTTCTGTGATCGATTGCTGTGAGGATTTATGAGCAAAACAGATGCCATTATCACACATTCAAAAGATGCAAAGTATTTAAGAATACCAATCAAATCCGAACGTGTTTCTGGGGTGAGGTTCATTTGAAGAACAATTTGAACAGCTTTCCTCAGTCCCCCTATGTGAGCCGCAAAAGGCCTGACCAACGTGTCTGAGACAATACTGTGCAAAGAGCTGGGAATGTTTTCCTTCAAAAGTTCCCACCTTTGTGGACTGGAGCTAAAAATGTTATACAGCTTTTGTACAACTCCAAAGAAAGCAATGACTGTTGAACAGCTTTCTGCAGAATGCACGCCACACAAATTCAAACTATGACAGCCACAGGGAGAGTATGTGGTAAGTGAACACTGTCTTAAAATGTGATCCTGTGCACCATTATACAGACCACACATGTTGCTACCGTTGTAGCCTTGGCCTCGGCAGTCTGTAATTGGAATGCGTTTTTCATTCAGTGTATCAAGGATAATTTTAGCGATGTCTTCTCCTGTTTTCTTGTTACAATCTACACATCTCAGAAATCTCTCTTCTACTTTGTAGACATTTGTAACACGGTCCAAGTGAACATAATGCAAAATAACACCAGTTTGTTCAACGTGTGAAGAGTCTGGTGTTACATCAACGATAATGGAGTAATATTTCGTTTCCGTTCTTTCATTCAAAATCATGTCTATCACTTTTGATGCACAGCATTGGATGTATTCATTTTGACTTTCTCGTAATAGATAGTGAAATTGTAGGCGCCTTTTTTCTTTTTGTGACTTTTTCGACTTTTGTAAGATGCCCTGCAAAGTTCTTTGAAGTTGTCAGATAGATCTATACTGCTCAACGTACACCCAAAATGTATTTTATTTCGAAGCTTTGTACGGTACTCTCTCTCTCTCTCTCTCTCTCTCTCTCTCTCTCTCTCTCTCTCTCTCTCTCTCTCTCTCTCTCTCTCTCTCTCTCTCTCTCTCTTAGTCTCTCTCTCTTTTTTTCTCTCTCTCTTTCTCTCTCTCTTTCCCTCTCTCTCTTTTCCTCTCTCTTTTCCCCGTGTTTGCGCCCCCCAAACCCCAGGGCCCTGGGGCATTGCCCTCCCAGACCCCCCCCTCTCGACAGGCCTGATCATCCGAGCTTCCCCATTGGTTGTGGCTGTCTTCGTTGAGAGCACTACTCCCCATCGTGAAGGAAACGGCTTGCCAATGATCAAGAGAGAAATCAGAGGCCCACCATGCAGAGCTTAGTACCAGCACCTGGAAGATGTGTATTCTGGGTACTCCAATAAGAAGGAACAAAGTATCACATGTCGCTGGGACCAGGTTGAACTAGCGAGACTGCCGTCAGACCATCATTGGAGCTTGAGATGGTATAAGAACTTTGTGAAAGAAGAGTTCAGCCCACATTGCCGGGGGTGCAGCCATGAAAAGGAGGATGTCAAACTTATGTTTGAATGTCCAGGAACAATGGCAATTCGAATGGAGTTATTTGGACGAGTGGAGGTGCCTCTAAATACATTGGCAATAGAGCCGAAAAATAGCATCGCTCTCGCTCGAAGATTTTTTCGCGGAGTCCACCGGGCCCATTAAGGAAACCTCCCCAAAAATCATCATCAACATCATAATCATCCTTATTCTTATTTTTAAAAGTTATTGCTATAACTAGTATCACCATTAAAAGCCTTTTATTAATATTGATGTTAGTATAATTATTGGTTATATCTAGTTGGTTTGTTTTTCTTTTGAGAATATCCATTCCATATAATATGTAAACAGCTTCATTTCCAGATAGCTCATGGTATCAGGTTATCAACCTGCGTCCCAACCAATCCCACCCTCCTCTACCCACCTTCTTTTTCCACGTGACCACCACCCTTCGATTATATAGAACTGCAATTTCCGATTCAGTTATTCTATTACACCCGCATCCCTTCCCCACCCTTCACCCCCACCCCCTCTCCCATTCTTACCCCCACCCTATCCTCAAAGAA